CTTCCCCGCTCGTGCTCTGTCTCTGTCTCTCAAAAATGAATAAACGTGAAAAACAAATTTAAAAACAAGGGAGAAGTAGGAGAACCGGGGATCCAGTTCATCCAAGAAGCAAGAGAATCCTCAAAGGATGAGCAGACCCTTCTCAAAGTGATGAACGGCCTTTTCCAAGACAGGTACGTGTGATAACCATGTGACATCTAGTTAAATCCAGATGGTGCCTGACCCCCAGCCCTCCACACACCCCCAGCTCTGAGGCACCCCACCCCTCACTCGCGCACCATTCTGAATAAAGCTGATATGAACATCATAGTCAAATTTGGTAACAACCCCCGCTCAGTCTCTCTGCAGAATGTCTTTTGCTCCGTTTGCTCAGTCAACATCCTAAGGTGTTCATCTTTAGCCCAGCATTCTGATCCCTGGATGGTCTTACGTGGGTGGCTCTGTGGCTGGAACACAGCTCCCTATACCTTGATAACCCGAATCTTTATTTCCAGTGCAGACCCTCTGCTGACCTCTAACCCTGTATGTTCCCTTGCCTCCGCCTCGAGGTCATCAGGTCTCTCGGTCCCCAGACAGCTCAAACACGACATGTCTAAAACACAGCTGATTGTTTTACAACCTTGGTCTCTTATATTAATTCTTTCACTGAATACCGCCACCATTGGTAGACTCTCCAAAGCCAGAAATCTGGGCCTCATGCTAGATTCTTCTTTTGCCTTCACAACCCCACACCAGGTCTCTGCCGAGTCCTGGTGATTCTACCTACTCAGTATTTACCAAATCTGCCTCTTTTTTTTTCCCTGTCTCGGCATCTGTGTCACCTCTGGCCTTGATCTAATTGGTCCAACAGTCTCCTAATTGGTCTTCCTACTCTCCATACCCTTCCGAAGAATCCTCTTCAAAGGTCGGACTATCTCCTTCTACTTCATAAAACTCAATGGCTCCACGTCTGCACATTCTAGAAATTCCTCCATGATCTGACTCCTGTTGACCTCTTCAGGCTCATCTCCCCCTACTTTCCTCGAGCTCACGCCAAGCACTAGCCCAGGGGCAGACCCAGGTACTGTGGGACCTAAAGCTTACACGATTGGAAAGGCCCTCCAAGAAAGACAAAACAACATTATGACTAAAAATCAGTCACAGGGCCTTGGAAGGGCCTATGTAAGAGGGGGCCCCGAGGCTTAAGTTTCATTAGCTTCACAGTAAACCTGCCTCTGAGCTAGCCAAACAGAGCCAAGTGACAGTTCCTTAGAATGTTCTTCCACACTTTTTTTTTAAATGTTTTATTTATTTTTGAGACACAGAGAGACAGAGCATGAGCAGGGGAGGGGCAGAGAGAGAGGGAGACACAGAACGGGAAGCAGGCTCCGGCTCTGAGCTATCAGCACAGAGCCCGATGTGGGGCTCGAACTCACAAACCGTGAGATCATGACCTGACACGAAGTCGGACGCTTAACTGACTGCGCCACCCAGGCGCCCCTCTTCCACACTTCTTTGTCTCTGTACAAACAGTCCCCCCGGCCCGGACTGCCCTTCCCTCCCTTCCCTTGTCTGTCTGGCAAGAGTTCATCCTTCAAGGGCCAGCTCAGGGGGCACTTCCTCCGTGAAGGCCTCCCTGACGTCCCCACCTGGAACTGACTCTTCTCTCCTTCATGTGCGCATGGTAACTTGACCTTCAGCTCTTTGTCCCCTGTCCTTTACAAAGCATATCACACTCGATGGAACTTATTTGCTCAAAACCGGCCTTCCCTGTGACTGCCTCAAGGGCAGAGACAAAGTCATTCCGTTTTAGGTTGTCAGGGCATGGCAGTGCCCCGGCATGTCTACCCAATGGAATGGAGACCTCACCCACGTATACTGGAAAGACACCCTTCTTTTGGCAAAGCGGGCCGAGTAGAATGGTTGATGTAAACAGGGACCCCGGGGGGAGGCGGCGCTTGCGTCGGCAGCCTGCACGCGCCATTTGGGGAGGACGTCCAGGAAGGACCCCGTGGGGAGGTCCTCCCCGTGGCTTCCCACCAGCCTCCACACCCCATGGCTTTCCTTACCTGTCTTCCTTGTTGATCTGGTCCCCAAAGCCCACTGTGCTCACAATTGTGAGCTTGAGCCCCACGTTGCTCTCTTGGAGGTCATAGGTGTTGGACCGGAGCTGGACACCCGGCTGCGTGTGGGTGGCTGGCTCCCCCTCAAACTTGGTGTTGAACAGGGTGTCCATGAGGGTCGACTTGCCCAACCCTGTCTCTCCTGAAAAGCAAAAGGATAAATGACGGTCTGTTCACACAGGGACCCTGCACGCATTCCGTATCAGGTTTTGGATGTCTTTTCATTGACATGGAAACATGTACATGATGAGACAGTAAATGAAGAGCGTATGAAACTATACAGACGAGGGGCACCTGGGTGGCTCAGTCGGTTGAACATCGGGACTCTTGATTTCCGCTCAGGTCGTGATCTCAACAGCCCTGGGATGTATTAGCCAGTAGCATCTCAGGGTAGTGGCATTGGGGTAATTCTCCTTTTAGTCTTCCTACTTTTGTGTTACTTGAAGGTTAATACGCATTGCTTTTATAGTCAGAAAAAGAAACTACGTACAGGCAGTGATGGAGAGGTAGGGTTATACCTGGGAAAAGTCCGGAAGGAAATACAATATACTCTTACCAAGGGCTACCACTGGGTGCTGGGCTTATGCTCGGTTTTCATCTCTCCCTTTAAATGCTTTTGTGTATTTTCCAGGTTGGCTATGTGGAACACAGATAGCTTTTGTAAGAAAAATTAAAGGGCTATTTTCGATTTTAAAAGAAAGGGACAGTGGTCCCTTGTCAAATAAATTATCTTCTGAGGATGCCCAGACGTGTACCCCAGGAAGGGGGGGGGCATTTTTAGCTAATGGGGAGGGAATTTAGCAGGCCACAAATTCTCCTCCTTCAATTTCAAACAAACCCGTCGTGTGTTTGTTGAACTAACAGGCTGCAGAATACTAATAAATTACACCACAAGAATCTCAAGTCTTGACTTTCACACCAGGGAGACGAGTCGGGGAAAGGCCGTGGGGACCGGCGAAGCATTCGGGAGGTCATTCCTGGGGGATTGGAGGGGATGTCAAGCCACTGCCAGGAGCTAAGGGGTCTTCAGGGAAAGAAGACATTGGGGGAAACTTGGTGGCATGGCAGTTGGGCAAGAATGTCCCATGAGGCCACAAGCTGGGCCGGGTACTACAGGCCCTTATCATCTCCATGGATCCAGACTATTTGGGCCTCCGCCCCAACGCCCGGCGATTCAGGAATGCCAGGAATAGAAGAGTCAGTAGCTAATTACCCTGGATTGCCTCTGGAATACCTAGACCACCCTGCTATTCCGGTATCCTCACCCTTTGCTCCCCTTCCCCCCTCCCCACCCCTGCGATGTCTCCCCAGGGGGCAGTGGGTCAGCACTGGGCAAGTCCTGGCCTGGCAAATCGCCCCCGCCCTTTTGTGACCGACAGTCCAAATCTGCAAGGGGGGGGTCCATGGCCAGGGTTGGAGCTACAGTGTGTATAAATGCACAACGGCCCGTCTGCTCCCCACCCTCTGGGAGGAGGCCATCTTACATGCCTTCTATCGTGAATAATGAGCTCTGAATGCAGGACGTGCTTTTTCAAATATCTGTCAACGATGAGAGAGCTTTCTGTGTGTGCAGAGATTGGGTGAGAGAGAGAGAACAAGAAGAACATTCAGCTCAGCCCGGCTCCCCAGCCCCCCAGCCCAATTCCACAGCCAGGTCTGACTAACGTGGTTGATTGCCAGGGTGCAGGAAACTGGTTCCTCACACAGATCATGTTTCCAGCCAAGGTCTGCTATACCTATTAGCTGCAAAGATTCTCCCAGAAGAGGCCCCTTTTTCTTCCTCCCTAAAGGAACAGGAAGTATTTGGGGCTCAAGAAAAATTTGGTGAGGTGGGGCCTTTGCAATGGGAGGTGACAGGGTTGGCCAAGCACCGGAATGTATCACCCCCCCCATCCCCGCCCAAGGTGGGGGTGTGGCACCTCTGAGGAGGGAACACAGCTCACCCTTAAATCACCTTCCCTCTGGGCGCTGCCGTTCAAGCTACATTTGAGCCCATCTTTCTTTTTTAAGTTTATGTATTTATTTTTGAGAGAGAGAGGGAGGGAGGGAGCCGGGGAGAGGGAGAACCACCGGGGGAGGGGCAGAGAGAAGGGGACAAAGGATCTGAAGCGGGGCTCGAAGCACCGAACCATGAGATCATGACCTGAGCCGAACCATGAGATCATGACCTGAGCCAAAGTCAGACGCTCAACCGACTGAGCCACCCAGGCGCCCCTGGAGCCCATCTTCATGCGTGCCTGATGACTTTTCCATGTGCGTCCGCGCCTCCACCCCCTTCTGTTCCGTGAGCTCTTTGCCGAATGCCCCGCAGCTCCTAGAGTGGTGGGCCTTGACTCCCCCGCACCCAGAGCTGGCTCCTTGGCCCCCCACCCCCCATCCTAAGGATTCGAAGAGACCAGGGGATGGGGCATGTTCCCGCACTCCCGGGCGCGCCCGACCAGGGCGCACACAGAGGCGTCAGGAGCAAGGTACAGACTGCCTGCCGGCTGCTCTGTTTGCACAGCTGGACGGATGGAGGCCGGCCAGGCAGGGCAGGGCAGGGCAGCAGGACAAATGACCACCCGAATGCCTGCCAGCACGAAAGGGCTGTGGAAATTAGATGCCCAATGATGAGTGGAAGAAAAGAACCCGCGGGTGTCCAGGGAATCGTGATAAATGCAACATGAGAAGAGGGCAGAAAATCAAGCGAGCCGGTGCCGCGGCTATCGAGTGCTCCTGTTCCCATTTCCCATCACTGTGGAGCCTGGGGGGCGCGGGGGGGGGTCTCTCTCTTAATGGTTGGCGCAGACCCAGCCTGAGCCTAGGATGCTGTCTCCTCCCTCCCACGCTGCCCTGGGCCCAGCATTGAGGAAGATCAGGTCAGCCGCCTCCACACCCCTGCAGGAAGGTGGGGACTTGGCAGATTCCAGCAGGAAACCTCGGGAGCCCCGAGGGGTCCATTTCTCTCTCCTCCTCCCTCCTTGTACAGACGGCAGGGTTTCTGAGCCCTTTTTAAACCATCACCACCGGCCAGGAGGATTCCATCTCACTTGGCTTAATGTAGACGGTATTCTGGAAACACCAGGTTTTTTAGAAAAGAGTTGCAGTTTACAACACGTAGTGTGAAATACGTCGTCGCAAACTATACCCCCTGGGATCGTCCCATGTCGACCTCTCTACTTAGCCCTTCTCCTCTGCGTCCTCTGGCACCTTGTGTAAATAAGTCCTTGCAAGCGATGAACTGCAGAGTCCCAGCCGGGTCGTTGGTGGATGCCCAGCCAAGGGCGTTCCCCTCTCTGGGCCCCAGTCTCTTTTTCCATAAAATGAGCAGGTTGGAGTAATGATAATAGCTATGGTTTCTGGGGCACTTACTATGTGCCAGGCACCTGCTGGGATACTTCTATTTTCTTATCCATTCCCCACAATAAACCTATGAGAGCTACTACCGTTTGCTCTTAATAAGAGTCAGCCAAGCCACTCCCCAGCCGCGTGAATTCGCCCCACTCCTCGGTCTCTCCGCACCTCACCTTCTTCATCTGTAAAATGTGGAGGGAAGAGCTGGTCTAGGGTCACGACGTAGTAAGTAACCGAGTCAGTACTGAATCCAGTCAGTCTGACACTGGAGCCCATACCTCTGACCCACATGCCTTCCGTGCGTCCCGCAGGCGTGCTATGGTGGGGTTCATTTGGTCACTGGACCAATGTTCACGGAGCCTCTAATAGAAGCCACGTGCAATTTTAAGGGGCCAAAGAGACAGCGATGAACAAGACAGCCACAGTCCCTGTTCACACGGAGCTCAGGGTCACATGAAGCTAAAGTGCCTGCCAGCTCCAAATACTGGAATAAACCAAGAGAGCGGTCCGGGAGTTCAACAAGGAGGTGATGTTCAAAAGGACACCCTCCAGGAACTCTAGGGAGCCTACGGACAAGGACAAGGTCATGCCTGGCTCTGTGAGCTTCCCGATCTTCTCTCCTTCCTGATCTTGCCGAGGCCTGGCCGACAGGGGCGCGCTGCTCCCCCAGCTTCCCGCAGACGATCCCACCCCCTCGTGCAACCACGTCGCGTTGGCACCTTCAAGTCAGCTGAAGTGGGCAAAGGCTACAAACCAAAGTGGCGTTTCCCCCGAGAGAGGGTTGCTGCACGCTCTCGCACCACGGCTCGCAGCCCGCCTTCGACAGGTGAGCGGCTGCCCTTCCCAGAGATGAACGCGTGACGCCATCGGCCCCTGACCTTGACAGAAGGCTAGCTGTCCCTCCCCATCTCTCCAGTGAGCCTCAATCCTGCTTCTCTCGCGCGTTTCCATTCCAAGTTCAACACAGCCAAGTTGAGCCTGGAATCCCGAGCAGCTTCAAAGTAAATATTATCATTATGACTCTTTGCACTCCTCACAGGCATTCCTGCTGCTGGCACATTCGGAAGGCTGTGTCTCTTCGGAGCTCTTTCCCAGCAGTGCAAAGCAACGGGCCCCAGAACATGGGTACTGCTGGTTCCGGTGGCTCCTCGGATGCCCTCCTGTACTGTATCTAGCTAGGATCATGGGACCTTTGCAATTTCCAAAGCTAAGCGACTAGTATGCGGGTTTTTTTTTTTTCGTCAGGGGAGTGGGAGGGCGAGGGGAACCTCATCCCATTCAGCAATTATCGCCAACCATAGAAAATCTGCTCTAGGGGAGTCACGATATGCCCACACGCATGTGCCTCGCCCTCTGAAAATAATAACTGTGCAGCACCTGGGTGGCTCAGTCAGTTGAGCGTCTGACTTGGACTCAGGGCATGATCCTGTGGTTCGTGGGTTCGAGCCCCACATCCGGCTCGCCGCTGTCAGCCTGTCAGTGCGGAGCCCGCTTCGGATCCTCTGTTGCCGTCTCTCTGCACCTCCCCTGCTCGTACTCTCCCTAACCCAAAATAAAAATAAGTATCTAAAAAAAAATGGGGCGCCTGGGTGGCTCAGTCGGTTAAGCATCCCACTTCAGC